GAGATGAATCTAAAGATAAACCAAGATATGGCCATGATTCCCTTCACAGTTTACTACTGCGTCGTCCCCGAGGTTCGATTCATCATACTGGCCAAGGACACCATTCACCGCAGTGTCAGTGCGACGGAGAAGAAGATGTGTGATCGTTTGATAACGCGGTGGGCACTTCCTGGACCTCGGTTTATCGTTCACTGATTGACAACCAATTGCAGCGTAGAGTGGGCACTCGAGCATGGCGACACTATACCCGCGTCAATGCTCCTCTATGCAGACAGAGGTGTTCGTCGATCACAACGCATAAGGGACAGGGACATGAGATTCGAGTAGCTGTCATGTAGGGGCATGTACATAGAATCGACTGCGGGTCCACAGAGTCCGAGACTTCCTTCATTCTGAGCTGTCCTCTGACTCTACATCTTCGTCTTCCGATTCAGACAAGGAAGGAGTCTGCATTGGATATCAGGGCCGCACGCGATGAAGAGTATGGAAGGGGCATACCTGGCGACTGCTTCTCAGCTTGCTCTTCTGGCTATTAGAGGCTGTCTCGACCGCCTTTCCCTTCCCTTTGCGGGTCTTCTGGCTGCCTTTCTTCGTACGAGTGTATTTAAGATGGCACTTCAACATGTCGTGGACCGGCCAGCACTTCTCGTATCGAGAGAGGAACGAATATTGTTCCATAACCTGATGTCACATGAGCAGGATGAGGAAGAGCATGGCATGTCTCTCGTACCACTTTCTTCAGCTTGTCCACTTTAGCGCGGTTCTGGGACTGCAATGACTGCGTAGTATCAAGCATTGCATCCGCCTTGTCCTTTACAAAATCCTTTCATCCTATCCGTTAGACAGCTACAAGACAGCGCACAGCCAAAACCACATACGGATACCTCCTCAATAAGTTTGGTGCTCCACCCCAGGCCCGTCAAAGCATCATTCAAATTGTAGCCGCCCCTCTGTAGCCGTGCAACTTCACCAGCAGGCTTGGCTATGAGTGGCTGTCCGTCCGTTGAGGTCGATGGGCCTGATCGAATCCTTGGTTCTTCTGCAAAGGTGACACTGCGCCGGTACGGAACCGGAGCATGACGCGTAACCTTTGGAGTCCGCACTGGGCCTCCGGCAAACTCTTGGGGCCTCTCCTGGGCCAAGAAGTCAACCTCCGTAACAGGTGGGGGTCGACCTTGTATGGTCGAGAACATATTGGTATCGGTTAGCAGCACAGGAAGTACAGGGGGCAGTCGCTCATGCTCAAAGACTGCTGGAACCGTTTTGGCCTTCAGCAGGGGCGGCATAGTGGGATTGTCCGACACGACGGATGGCAAGAGATGAACAATAGCTGAACTGGTGAGCGGCTCAAGAAAGACCGATGCCTGAGCCACTGAGAAGTCTTCTTCCTTTCACCAACCTCAGCACGTGGCCGACGGATGGCCGCTCAGAACAATGCGGATACAGCACCGGCTTACATCCATGCGCGCTGCCCATTCTGCGCATTCAGACCAAGGCTGTACATTTGGATAGAGTTGGCTGCACGGTGGCATAAAGAGATGCGACGTATAAAAGAATGCCTGCGGTACTGGCGGGTGGGACATAACTTCTACAACCAGCCCACTGCTATAACATGACTTCCTTCGCGCTCATTGACACCCGTCGCGCGCAGCATTCTATCAAGGTGACCGGTGAAGGTGGAGGAGGATGCCCTGTGTATGCCTTGGCCATATCGCCATCGGGGACATTCCTAGCAGCCGGTGGTAAGCTTACGGAGTACCATCAGGACATAAAAAAGACTAACTGCTAGAACATAGACTTGAACGGTGTCAGGCTCTGGCACCTTGCAAGCCAGAAAGAGGTGGAGGTGCCCAGCGTCTGGGGCATACGAGGTGCGGTCACGAGCATTGTCTGGCTACAACGGGACCTGGGGGAGACAATGATTTACGGTACAAGTCTCGGCTTTCTTGTCTGCTGGAGGCAGAATTCGAATAAGGTACGTTACAAAACACACAATTGGATCAAAAACTCACAGTTCTCAGTTCAAGGAGCTGTGCTGGGTACGAGCTGGAGAGCAGCAGATTACATCTGTCAACATCGACCCAGCCTCAGGGCGCATCGTATCATGTATTCGGGATGGGACAGTATCAACCTGGATCTTGGACCAGGAGGAAAGGCTTGAGGGTATCTTCGCCGTTCAAGTGGAGAAGACAAATCCCATCGCAGTATCGATCCAAGGTAACACAACCAAGGACCTCCTGCTCTTCACAATGGCAGGCAAAGGTAAAGAGTCCCCACGCCCCATAGCCGCATTGCTGGCATTAAAAATTCGGTACAGGG